AACCTCCACACCATTCAAGAATCATTCTTTTTAAATCTATAGGTACTTCACTCATTCTTTCATATTCAATCACAACCAATTGAACACCGGTTAACAAAAGACAACACAATATAGTTCCAAATCAAGTTTCATCATATTTAATATTATTACATTCAATAAATACTCAGAAATGAGGGGGGGAATGTCAGGTATTACATAACCAGAATAACCAATTATGCACAATTCATCAATACTCAACATTTCACATCAACTATAAGAAGAATCAAGAATCCACTAATTGTAACATTATATGTATATTAAGAGAACATCGGAATTACCTTATATACACACAGTAGAGGATATTCTGTCATTATTTATTATGTTTTATGAGCTTTAACCACCTTAAATGTAGATTCGCGAAATTATCTGGTTGGGGCGGTTGAGATTTCATTTTTACCGGCTTCAAAGCCATGGCCTAATTTCTTGAAGCCCCTTTTGAAGGGAAAGTTAACATCAACAGATTGCAACCACACCAAGCTGGTTATCATCTAGTCCAGTATTACTCAAAAAATTACACACGGAGCCTAATTCCCGCCCTTGAAGGATTCAATTTTCGCTGTTGTGTTTGTGCTGTTATAGTTGAAAGCTTGAGTTGTAATGTCAGGACCAGAAAGAAATAAATACTCAACCTCAATCTTGGTAAACCAAAGTCCTATTGACGCTACTGAGATTGTGAGAGTCAGATTGAGTCAGGCCAAGTTGCTAAATGATGAGTTCTCGAAGTTTTTCAAGAATTATCATACTATTAAGACCAACTACCTCAATCAATTGAACAAGTTGATTAAAGATTCTCAAGATTTGAACAAAAATATTGAACATGGTATCATTGAAAATCAAGTTTTAAGTCGTGAAGAACTAAAATACTATAATGTTGATGCTATTGGACATTTATCCCAGGTTTGGAACGAGGTCATCACTGAAATTAAAGATGAAGTTGCAAGCAATTATAGATTGGGTCAAGTTGTTGATCGTGATGTTATTAATCCATTGAGCCATTACACTACTAACGACAAGAGATGGAGTGAAGTGAGACATTTGCATTCGAAGTTGAGTGAAGTTGCACAAACCATTGAGTTTAATCAAGAAAAAGTTGAAAAATATCAAGGTGGAAGAAGCTCTGATAAATTGGAAAAATACCAAACCAGTTTACAAACTGCTAATCAAACTTGGGCTTCAGAAGCACCATATGTTTTTGAAGTGTTTGAATACACTGATTTCGATAGATTATCATTTTTGAGAGATAGTTTATTGAGATTTCAAACTGCTTATTCTGATTCTTTGAATAAAATTTCACAAAGTAACGAAAAGGCATTAGAAACAATTTTGAATTTCAATCCAGAAACTGAAATTGAAAGATTTGCTAAAGTGTCCAGTGAAACTAGTTATGTTCCAAAAGAAGCTAGAAAAGCTGCTGAATCGCCAACTGTTCCAAAGCATCATTCAGGAGCCCCAATTGGAGGAACTACTGTACCAAGTGGTAATCGTCAAGCTTCGGTCTCCACCACTGCTACTAGTCAAACTCATAAAGCAAAAGCTGGTTTAGAATCACCAACTTCAACCACTAAACAACCAAAATCAAAATTAAAATCTAGAGTGGGGTCAATTTTTGGTAGAAAAAATAAAAAGAACAAACATGTTGATGTTGCTGAAGCAGTTCCAGAATCTGAAACTTCATCAATTCATAGTCCTTCAAAAACTACAAATAGATTGAGTAGAGCTTCATCACTAGCTTCACGTTTAAGAACTCAACAAAGTGGAAGCAATTTGAATTCACACAATCATCCTGAAGTAAACAATCATGAAGCTGGTGTTATAACTGGTGCTGTTGGTGCAGATGCTGCTGCTGTTGGTGCCGGTGCTGCTGCCATGAGTTCTGGAAATATTCCTAGACCAATTTCAAAAGAATCTGGTTCATTCCAACAACAAAAACCAGCCCTTGGTGCTCAATCAAGTTCATCTCAAAATATTCCATTATCATTGAATCAACCACCATTGAAACCAACATCCAGAACTTCATCATCTGCTCATTTGAATGGTGATGTTGCAGAAACTGGTTATCCTCCAAAACCTGCTGATTCACCTCAAGCTGGCTCATTTGACCAAAGATCTTTAGATCCTTCATATTCTGATTCAAACAGTGCTATCAATATGCATCAACCTCAACAACAACAAATTCATGCTGGTGAAGCTCATGATCCACATCGTGCGCCACCACCTCCACCATCAAGAAAGACTAATCAATTCGGTTCTCAAAATCTAACAAATATTCGTGAAGATGGTGACACATCATTTGAATCCACTTCTAGGGGACAATATGATCATCAGTTACAACAACCTCCTGCCGTTGCTAGACGTGATATTCAATCTGGATTATTTACCAATTTGAACCAAGCAGATCTTGAAAACCATCAAAATAAAAGAATTTCAAGTTTCAACAGCTTTGGTGGTGATTCTATCAGACAGCTGAATCCACAATTGACAGGTTCTTCGTTAGCTTTGAATCATCCAGGTTTATTCCAACATGCTGCTTTAACACAACCCGGGTTGAATGCTAGTATTGCAGAAGTTATCAATGCTAAATTTAAAGATGGTGAACAAGTTCAATCTCAACTAGTTGGTGAAATTGCATTCAATTATTTAAGTGATGGGTTTGATATTCCAACAAGATCGAATTTGAAAATTCATGGAGTTGATAAATTTGATAAAATTATTCCAAATAATCAATTTTTAAAACAGATTGATGTTAATGAGTTTGAAATCACACCAAATTCAATTTTATCACGTACTTTAGGTGGATTAAAATATTTGATTAAAAACATTAAAGCACCAATTGTGGTTCATCCAGTTTGGAGATTTGAAGCACATCAAGCAAGTGTTATGTTGACAATTAAATTAGCACCACATATTGCAGAACAATTACAAGGGGATGAATTTGTGGAAGTTAATGAATTGAGTGTCTCCGTTGCAGTTAGTGGAAGTTTAACAACTGGTGCATTATCAAAGCCTCAAGGTACTTTTAATAAAGAGAAGTCAAGAATTAGTTGGAAATTTAAAGATCCAATCAAATTAAGTAAAATTAATGAAGAGAAATTAGTTGCAAGATTCTTAACAAATTCTGAAGCAAGAGAATCCGAGCAAGGTGTTGTTTTAAAATTTGCTATTAATGGTCAAGATGGTGGTAAACTAATAACTAGTGATATTGAATTGGAAAGTCAAAATTTTACAGAAGATGATCCATTTGCTCAAGAAACTTGGAGTCCAGTTCCAAGTGCAAAGACATTAGTTGCTGGTAGTTATTCAGCATTGGCCTAATTTTTATTTCAATTTTTTGTTTCTTTTCTTTCTCTCTATTCTTTCTTTGTTTTAGTTTCTCTGTGTTTTCAAGAACTTTTGTACTACCTGTGTTATAATATGTTTTCAATAATAAAAATAAATATATATGGAATGTTTTACTACTAAAAGCTTATAATAAACCACTTTATGTGAAATGTATTGAAATGAAATATAATAAAAGTGCTGTGTAAACCGCTCTCGAAGCGTTGAGAAGAAAAATGAAATCAAATGCAAAACTTCAAACCAAACTATAGAACCAATCCTCACTTCCTAGTCCTTGTGTAAACCCTATCCCTTATACCTTGTACCAATATTATAACTATGCAACATCACCCCAACTATTACCAAACATTATTGAATTTGTTGAAATTGATGAATGAGCAGAACTTAAATCTTTTTTCCAAAAATATGAACTTGAAGAATAGTTATTATTATTACCAATCAAATATTTATTTATAGCATTTTTAGATAAATTTGATAGTAATGAAGATCTTCTTGATCTCATACCTGTATGATAATCCATTGAATGATCATTTCTTCTATTATCACGAACTAAAGAACTTGATAATTGTTGTGCAACTTTTTTAATCATACTAACTTCCCATTCACTATAATTTTCAAAAATATCATCACCATAAAATCTTTGAGAATTATCATGTTTATATGGTTTACTCTGTACTTGTCTTTGTTCGTGTCTTTGTTGTGTTGGTTTAGTGTATGATTGTTCATCGCCATCCAAGTTTGATTCAATAGGGTCTCTATCATCAACACCCCAAGATGCCAACAAGTCATTTGTAGGAGTCTGTTCTCTTGTTGTTGTTGAACCTGATGAATTGGAGTTTTGTAATTCTTCAATTAATAATTTAGCTTGTTCACGTCTCCAACTATCAATTCTATTCGTGATGAAATCTTCTTTTGATAAACTATTGTTGAAAACATCAACATCTTCAGTTTCACCAGAATCTCCTAGGGCAACAACATTATTAATCTCATCATTATAAGAATTCATGAAATTTCCTGAACCATCATGTGTAGGTAATGATAATTTCAATCCTTGATCTGTATCTAAAGAATCTATTAATGAATCTTCATCATCATCACTTTCTTGAGCGCCATCGTTATCATCATCATACTCATTTGTGGTTGATAACACCTCGGACTCATCATCCTCTTCACCACTCTCTTCCACGCTTGGGGAAAACACAACCCAATCACTTTCGATACCACTATTTGAACTTAGTTCACCATATTTTGAAGATTTTTGAGACGCGTTGTTGGAAGCTATCAAATTTGCTGAGCTTGTTGAGGTGATAAGAGCTGACTTAACAGGTTGGAAGCTTTGATTGTACGCCATTGTAATAGAGCGTTGATTGATTGTGATAATGCTTTAACGATATGGAGTCTTTTCTGTACCAAATTATAGAAACTTGTGTATATAAACCTGTCACTTGTTGAGGGGCTAAGAGACACCTTTTTTACCAGTATTGATATAAGAGTTCCAGTATGAGATCGTGTTTGGAACCTTCTAAATTCCCAGCTTTGATACCTATTGCAAGTTATAAGTCTGTATCTTGAATCTCTTGAGAAATGGACTGACACAAGAGATTTGTAGAGATTTAAATAGGTTTTAAGCTGAGTTGCTTTATGTTGACTATGGCTGTTGATGATGGTGATGAAGTCAGTTTGTGGGAAAAGAAACTGCGGAAATCTTATCAGGTGGATTGGGGACTAGGCTATACAAAGGGGAGACTATCAGTGGGTCTAGGCTCATATGTGGATGGGGCTAGTCCTGTTCATCCCTTTTGGGAATATTTCCTCTTTCGGCAGTTTCTCGCCTTTGTTTCACTTTTTTCTGATGTGTCGTTTTTTTGCCTTTACACAAATTAAATAAACAACTTCACCATCTTTCACAACTACAACAACTACATCAACTATATCCACAATGCTTCGCTCATCCGTCTTCTCAGGTCTAAGAACCTCTGCTCGTTCATTCTCTTCTTCTCCAGTCTCAAGAGCCTCCTCATACGCCAGTACCACTTTTATTGGCCGTGTTGGTCAAGATTTACAAGAAACTGAAGCTTCTTCTGGTAGAAAATACTTGAGATACAACATTGCTGTCCAACAAAGAAAAGACTTGCCAGTCAATTGGTTCCCAATCATGGTCTTCAATGAACAACAAGTCAGCTTCATGACCCAATACATCAAGAAAGGGTATGTATTTTCAATGACGCGTAACATTTTATCAACATTTTTACTAACATCCGTGTTTTTTTAGTGCTATGGTTCATGTTGAAGCTTTACCAGAAGCTCAAACCCTTGAAGGTGAAGATGGTTCAAGACAATTCAGAGTCTCTTTTATCCAAAGTATGTATAATCATATCAGCTTTTGAAATGGGGCCATACTAACATTATCTTTTTTAGAATCCGTCAATCTTCTTTCAAATCCAAACTCTTCAGAAGGTGCTCAATAAATTTAATAAGCTTTTTTTTTCTAATCCACCGTTGCTTGTCAATAACGTATCCTTTTGTGTTTTTATATCGATGATTTTCCTGTTTTTATTTTAAAAGGACCAATAAACAAACGAAAAATCTTTGAAGATCTTTTTATTTTACTATTTATACTAATGTACTCTAATAAATATAAAGTTGATTAACTACATTGAAAAAATCTTGAAAAAAATAACATCATATAACTAAAATTCATAAAACCATTGTCCCTTATATATTACTATCATCCTTGATTTTTGTGTTGCAACTTATAAACAAAATCAAATTCAGAATCTTTACTTGTACTTGCAATTGATTCTTTTGGTGATATTGGAGTTGATAATTCAACTTTTGCCTTTTCTTTTTGCAAATCATCCAATATGATTCGATCTTGACTAGTTGGTTCCACTCTACCTTCATCAACATCATGTTGATACAACATATTTATATAATTTAAATCATCTTCATCCAATCCTTCCAACATACTTTCATTCATACCACTTAAATATTGGAAATTGTTATATCTATTATTGCCATGATTATTAATCTCATGTTTATCTGCAAACACATTTGATATAGTTGTGGAAGTTGGAGATTTATCATCATATTCATCATCAATGATTTTTTGCATTTCAACATCAAATGGAGTTCCATTAACTTCTCTATTCATTGTAACATTTGAAACTAATTTATCAGCTTTTGCTAATTGACGTTGTTGCTTTTTAGCTTTAGCAAATCTAATTAATGGACCAAATCCAATTTTGGATAAAATTTCTAAATACATTTCAATAGCATCTGAACCTAATCCGAAAAAGATGAAAACTGCATAAGAAACTGATAAATAAACCCATGTGACATAATATGGTGCCTTAAATGGTAGGTAAATAACTGCATCCCAAAAAACACTTGAATGATATTCACTAAAATTGAAATGTGGTGAAACATTACCTAAATCATCAGTGAAAACATATAATGAAAATGGAAACATAACCAATATAACAATAATGCAAAAGATTAATAATTTTGCAAATCTTGCTAAATTTAATCCTGAATTTGTACATTTTAAAATATCTCTAACATCTTTTCTTTTTTGGAAGAATTTAACAATGATTAAAATCGCAAATATAACACCAACTAAAGACCAAATAACCATCCATAATGTATATAATATGATTGTAAGCCATGTGAAGGATAGAGCTGTTTGACAACCTGAATATTGGAAAATAGTATATCTTCTAACTTGAATAACATAATTACAAGCCATAACCAAAACTGGTGATAATAAACTAATTGATAAATCTGTAACAATTTTTTTAAAACTTGTTAATCCAGGCAAAACTTTATCAGCTTTCAAAATACAATATAAATTGTACATGATACAGGCAACTGAAGAACTTATACCAACATTTGCACCAACTTCTAATTTGACCATAACATCACAATAACCATGACCATTATATCTATTAGCAAAATCCTCTGTCCCCCATATTATCGCATCAACAAAGATTTTAATATCCATTGATAATAACCAGACGATCAGCGTTATGGCTGGAATGTTTTTAGTTTTACAATGCCATATGAATGGTGGAATCAATAATAAGATGGCTATTGTTGATAAGACTATTAAAAGTGCTTGAAATCCCATGTTGAAAAATAAAAAGTGAATGTGCTTCAGCAACAACAAGAGGAATGATACCTCTAAAAATGAGCAAAGGACTAGATATATATGTTTAGTAGCCTCATCATTGTATTTCTTTTTGGCTTGAAAAATTTCTATATCCTTTATTATGGTGTACATAGAAATCTACCATTGAGGTCCATTTTAGGAAATAATCTAGATGTAAGTAATAACGTATCCTCATTTGGAACTCAATGAGGATGAATGTAAAACCGAAGAATGAACAGATTAATGGTTGCCGTGGGACAATAATCAATTATCACCTGCATATTGCATTCATATGGAATCGTCATACATTCTCATCATCATAATCAACTTGTACAATTATTGAAAAAAATGGTCGGCCGAAAAAAGTAGGTGATGGAGTGTCTCTACCGATATGAATTTCTGTCAAGAGAATAAGTGTCACAAATTGAACCACACTAGAAATATAATTAAAAAGCAAATCCTAGTTCTTCTTTTTTTTGGTTGTACAACCGTATATAAGTTTATAAATTATGAGTCAATAGAGTAAAATCATAGAAAATCAGTTTTTCTCATCCCAAGTTTTGGAGCTGTTAATAAAAAATAAAGTGTATCAATAAAACAATAAAAATATGAAGTGAATAAACTATTGGTATCAAATTTGTTTAAAAAAATGACATGGCACCAACAGCTGCAAAAGCTGCAAAGACATATCTAATATCAACAAAGAATCCTGGACCAGAGTTAACTTTACCATTACCAGTGTTTGTAGCTGAAACCAAAGTATCAGTAACAGTTTTATCTGATGATGAAGCTGAACTAATCCAATTGTTAATATCCGAAGCACTAACAGTACCATCAATACTTGTTGAGTTTGACATAAAGACTGTAGCTTTACCATCTGAACTGAAAACAACACCACCTTTCATTGGAATTAAAAAAAGGACAAGCCGAAAACAATGGTCAAGATATCTCAGCTCTTGCAAGTCTTAGCTGTCTCCAGCTCTGCTCTTTGCCAAAACAACAACAATAACAATAATAACAACAACAATAACCAAGGTGGTAGTGCTACCCAATCCTCAGGGGGTAATGCCGTTGCATCTCGTTCATCATCTTCATCATCATCCTCAAATGCCAGACAATATTCCTCAGAATATGGTGTTATCGAATTTGATAATTTCGGATTTGAAGGTTATTATAGACATGTTAAGAAATTAGATGATAGTGATAGTTGTAAATGTGAATTGGCTAGTAATAGTGATAGAACCATATTCTCTGGTCCAAATTCACCTTTAGATGAAGAAGTTTCAGTTCATTTTAGAGGTCCTTTAGTCTTATCACAATTTGCTTATTACACTTCAGATAATTTCCAAGTTGGTTCAAATAGTGGTTCTGATTGGCAAAGATTAAGTTATTATGATGCTTCATCTCAAACTGCTCAAAATGTTACATTTCTAACTGCTGCTGGTAAAAATTCATCTTGTTTAGGTAAAGCTTTAACTTATGCAGGTTCTGATGGTATTTCTGAAGCTAAAAGTGCAACTATCTTGGCTGAGAATACCAAGATTGCATCAGATCAAGAATATATCCTTTTCACAAATACTTCATGTGGTAAATCAGGTTTTGGAAAAGATTGTGGTGTTTATAGAGATGGTATTCCAGCTTATCATGGGTTCAACGGTACTACAAAGATGTTTTTATTTGAATTCCAAATGCCTGAAGAGACTAGCCAAGATGAAGATTCTTTTGATTATTATGACATGCCAGCTATTTGGTTATTAAATGCTCATATTCCAAGAACTTCACAATATCCAACTAATGGTAATTGTTCATGTTGGGGTAGTGGTTGTGGTGAATTTGATATCTTTGAAGTTATGAACACCACTGAAGCTAATCATTTATTTTCCACTATCCATGATTATCAAGGTACTGATAACATTCAAACTGGTATTCAAGCTCAAGGTTATATCGAAAGAAGTACTTCATCAACTTGGTATTATTTAACGATTGAATGTGCAGTGTAGCAAAAAAGGCCCAATATATAGGAAATGATCTTATTAACGACTGTGAGAAGATTTGGAGGGTGGAAGTGAGAAGAGATGGTGATGTTCTCAATTGTGTGGTTTTATGAGATGTTTTTAGGAAGGAATTTTGAAACTTCAAGCCTTGTAAATTCTTTATGTCCTATCGGGGCTATGAATTGAGATTCGGTTTTTTTTCTTGAAACCGTCCAAAATTACGCGAAAAAATCAGAAGAGAAAGCTTTTTATTATGGGCTATTTATAAACAGAACTGCTACACTTCTGAGATGGTGGGTTATATTGTGGACCGTGGTGTTCTTAAAGGCTTGTATTTGGTGTGCTTTTGATTGTCCTTGGAGGGTTTCTAATTGTGAGAACTAGTCATGATCATCACGATGAACCAGATTAAAATTAGATCAAGAAATAGTCCCATAACACTCCAATGAACCCATTTATCAAACCTACTTTGTTGCAGCTCGTGTCTCATGACCAGTTGCCCCACCAGGTTGTCTGGATCAGCACGACTAGTTATTGATTCTGGTTGTAATAATGTGATCTCATCTCTATGCTCTTCCTGAACTTGTTGACTAAATTCAAATTGATCATCCAATGTCCAACTCTTGAGGTATAAAAATACATTCATGATCCATAGAGGAAACACTAAAACTCCATAATAGAAATTCTGGCGTATTGTTAGTTGAAACCTTTCAAGAAATTCATTATTACTGATTGCCCATACTCACCGTTGAAACTTTTCCTTCGCTATCTTTCTTATATTCACATCTTTCACAATGACAACTCAAATCTGGCCCATCCTGACTCTCCAGGTCTATTGGTAACTTATATGTTTGTCCAATTCTTTCAATGGGTATTCCAAGCATCTTTACACTCAACTCAATTCAACTCAGGATCTAGGACTGAAAATTCACAACAGCAGAATAATCATTATTTAAATTGAAAAAACACGAAACAATAAAGAAACAGCACCAAAATTAAAACTTTCCTTCATACTTGACTCCAAGACCCTTTGTTCTTGTGATTTTTGTGCCAAAACGTTGTTCTTTGAGACCTGTTTGATGAGATTTTCAGAATTTCCTAATTTGGAACACACAAAGAGTTCTCGAGAACCTCAACACACCAAAGCAAAAAAAATTCACAAATCCAAAGGAATAGTACAATTATATCACACTCTAATAATCACTATATATAACTTTACTTAAATTTCGTTTTAGTCCCATTTGAACTAGTCTTTTCTTGATCCTGAGTTGAAATTTCAACACTTTTCATGGACCCTTCGCGAAACAAAGATTGTGGCAGATATATCCGCTACTAATATTAAAAACATGCATATATATTACAGTGTATTAATTCGTTCCTTTAATCTTTCTTTTTATGGATGTACTTTTTTGGACCCGCCATTGTGATGATCTCCTTCATGTCTTCTCTTTTGATGCTTTGCACGATATTTAATCAAAAATTTATCCATATATGCTTCAACAAACTGTTTAACTTTTTTACGTTTCTCATTATCTAATTCAGACGGTGGTTTTTTAGTTGAATCCTTTTTAAATTCTTTATCAACCAAGATTTTAGTTATATCTTTTGCACATTGTTTTAAATTATCATGTCCTATTTCATCTCTATATTTTTTCAACATATTTGGAATATATTGTGCAAAGAATTTTGACCAATTTTTTTCAAATGCAGCTATATTTATAGATGTCACTGATGACGGTGCTGATGATGAACCAATTGGTGTTCCTTCTTTTGAAGTTGATGCACTTTTCTTAATCGACATTTTTCTTTTATACTCTTCTTTTTTCCTTTTTTTAGCCTCCTCTAATTTTTTGATCTCCCTCTCTTTGGCAAGTTTTTGTTCTTCCAATCTTTTGGCATTTGCAATGATTTTAGCTAAATCATTAGCTTGTTGACTCATTTCTCTCTCTTTTCTTCTTTCAAAATCACGCTTCTGCATCTCTCTTTCTCTCTGTTCTTTTTGTAATTGATATAATTCTCTTTCACGACGTTCAGATTCATATTTTTCCTTTTCAAATTGATCTTCAAACCTTGGTTTATCTCTAACTTGTTTCTCCCATCCTACTGGTTCCGGTTTAACAATCTGTGGTTTTTCCCATTGTGTCAAGTTAGAACCTTCTTTAAAATAATAGGTATCTCCAGTTGGTGCTTTGGCAGCATGCCATCCTGGTGGTAATTCAGAATCTGGTGGTGTTTGAGATCTTGAAGGTGATAAATTTTCATTTCTATGTTGTCTTCTTGAATCAAAGACAAATTTATTTCCAACACGTTTATCAGATTTCTTAATTCTTTTAAATTCTTCAAATGATGCCCATCTATCTAATAATTCTCTAGAAATTTCAATAATTTCATCATCATTAGTGTTTTCAATCAATTCTGAAACTGTTGGTATTATCTCCACTTTATTAATATAGGTTTTGGAAACTTTTGGCCAATTTTGTAAAATTTTCAAAATTCTCAATACTAAATCATCATCAATCTTGAATTGACTTTCACCTTCATAATAGTTTTTCAACAATCTCCCTAATGAAGTATAACCATGCGCATAACTTAGTTTATACTGAATAGCTTGTTGATTTGATAATTCAATTCTTTCAATCAATTTTTCTGCAATTAAACTTTCTTCACATTGTAACAATACACCCATCACTTTATTAACTTCAAATATATCAATAGGTTTCATTATTAATGAATTAATATATTCAACGTTCATATTATTATCATTTTTAACAATTTTTTCATTCTTATCTTGTTTTTCTCTCAAGAATTCTTGTTCATCTTCAATAGTTGAACCTAAAGCTTCAGAAATGAATTGTGGTAATAATGAAGCAGCTTCTGTTTGAGTTTTACCACCAATGAATCCGATACAATTAGGTTCACCACAATAACAAGGTTGAGCATTTGCACCATATCTATCAACATTATAATCAAATGTAACTTCTTCACCTTTCAAAATTCTTCTTTTGGCGAAAATACCCATTTTCAATTTATGTCCAACAACCCATTTTTCCACATAACAATTTGGATTACATGAATGATTACAAAATCTTGCTAAACAACCTTTTCTTGTTGCATCGATAAATTCACCTTTTTGTAACATCATGAAATAAAAATGTTTGAAATTTAATTCATCATACTCAATCATTCTTCTCTTGAATGCCTTTTCATCAATAACTTCACCAATATATTCATAGATAAAAGTATCAGGTTCAATATCCTTTTCAGCACGAACACCATAACCCTTTTTAGCAGTTTGAATAACATTTATTGGTGCATATTCTTGTTTTTGAAACCTTTGATTAGAACAATCATTCCCACATGATGAATGACCATTTATACATTCGATTTTCGTACCCCTATTGATACAATAATCATCATTACATGCAGAATTAACATCTCCATCCCAATATTCTTGACATTCACAAGACATGAATTCTCCACCTTGTCCTGAACTACCCAATGATTTATTACCATATGTGGATTTCTCAAGGCTTGTGAAAGTTCCTAATGCTTCTTCAGTCTTGTCTTCTAGATCTAAAAACAATGTAATACCATCAGGTATTTTTTGTTTGATTTCATTTTTTTTATCCAATTTTTTTTGTGATTCCAATTTATCTTGTATTGAAATCTCAGGTTCTTCTTCTCCTTCTTCTACTACTTCCTCTTCATCCACTTCCTTGAGCACGTCATATTCACCATCACTATCAGCTTTGAGTTCAGGTTCATAATCTTCTTCATCACTGGAAAATATATCGTTCCCGGACATGATCCTCTTGCCTCTCTAATTCACTCTCGTTCTTTTATCGTTAACCAACTCTGGATCTATCTCTAGCGTACACAAGCCTTTCGTTTATCGGTGTGGGCGATGCAATGCGGAGCAAATGAATGGTTGGTAGCTAGTGTTCCCAATTGTTAATGTCTGTCCACGATGAACAATTCGTTACTGGTGTCTTCAGCGAAAAAAAATCAACAACGAAAAAAAAATCAAAAAACGACGACCAAAAAAAACATTTGAAAGAATTTCGCGAACACTTGATTTTATTAGTACTCAACAATCAAGATACAAATGCTTACGAACAATGAGGTTGGAAAATATATAGTTGTTTAGTCATTAATTGTGCTGTGTTGTGTTGTATGGGGTCAAAGGCGTTCCAACAAACGTTCAACTTCTGCAAAGTCTCTATCATCAGTTTGTTGATCATGGTCGCGAAATATGGAGACAATTGAATTTAAAAGGGTATCGATCTTGGTCCAAGATTCTTTATCAATTGAACTGCTTGGTCTTGAATTGTGATATAACTTCTTCATTGTGGACTTGTATTCGTAACTTTTTTTCACTAATGTCATTTCTTTAATCTCTCTTGCTCTTAATGAAACTAAAATGGTTTTGGAACTTTTAAAATTATCTAAATCATTCTTCATTGCTGATGCAAGTTTTGAATCTAAGTCTTGAGAGATCGGACAAGCTTGTAGTTTGAAGTCTGGTATAAATTCATTCACATATCCACATAATTGTGGTAATGGATAACGTTTGTAATCGTTATCAGTTTCACCCTTTCTAAAGTCATTATCAAATTCTTCATCTTCTCCTTCTTCATCATCATCGAATGGGACATCGAGTATTGAAACTCCTTTAACATTATCTCTTTCTAATCTAGTATTCAAACTTTTTGAACTTAATAAACTGAAACAACTTTTACGTGTATTGTTGAACAGTTGACTTTTGGTTTTCTGAGATTCTCCAATTTTGAATAAAGTAGTTGTTGATCTTTCAACATGTGGTAATTTTGGAATTGATAACCTTTTAATACTTTTAGGAATATTTGATAAACAACATGAAAGATCATATGAAGAACTAGTTCTTGATAAATGATGACCTGTTGATGAAGATGATGATAATGTATAATTTGGATGTGATATTTGATTCAAATTTGAATACCATGGATAATCATCAGGTTCATTATTTGGTGATGGGGTCTTGTAAGATACAGATGATGAGGATGATGAAGGGGTATTATTTTGATTATTACCATCATCACTAGTTCCTGTGTTTTTCCAGTTTTGTAATAATTGGAATCCACGGCTTAATGATGTTGAAAATGTAGATGAAGACGAAAGAGATGATGACAAATAAGCCATTGAATTTGAAGTTGACATTGAAGTTGCAGGTTGAATGATTGAACTCCGACATGGTGTCATTATCGAAGGAGTGGCGACTGATCTCGATGGAGTTGTTGGTATCTCCCAACCTTGTTTAATGACGGAAGGTGTTGGTGGAGTCTTTTCTTGGGGTATTTCAATTTTCAAATCATTTAAATCGCCAGTACTTTCCACAACTGTATCTTCTAAAGATTTATCATCATCTTCGTAGTCAGTAACTTTAAAATTCAAATTGAAAGGTAATAGTCCAGATATTATGAAAATTAATTTCTGTGCAACCATTGGATTTGAAGCCATTATAACAACACGAACGGATTCATCATTTTTTTTACTAACCAATTGATTTTTCAATCCATAAACTATTGACAACAGTGTTGTTAAAAATTTTGTACCACTAAACCCTAATTTTGCACCATCTTTAACTTCTATCCAATTATTTACTTCAAAACACCAATTTTTTAAAATAGAATCAAATTTAATCAAACCTAAAAGTAATCTTGGGACAGTTGAGAGATATTTCGTTGATTTAATAAAAGTTTTGAAAAAAATTGAAATGTCCAAATAATTTGAAGAAGCCATTTGAGTTGAAGTGTTATTACATTTCTTGATATTTAAATGATTTTCAATGAAGATAGCTTTTAATAAATTCAGATGATTAGAAACGGCCACCCAATTAGACAAAACAACACTCGAAATATCATTCAACCCTATCGGTATAACAATTCCAATAGCAAACTTATGTTTCTTATCAAAATAAAAATGCATTGAAACTAGTATTGAATTTTTCAAATCTGGTAAGCTTGACATGACATGAATTTTAAAATTATCAGATCTATTCAAATCATGATGTATTGGATTTCCAAACATTATTTCAACCAATTCACTAGACTCATGTTTATTGGACAGCTTATTGTGTATAGGTCTATTAAAATGTGGGTCCAAAGCCGAGTCATAATGGGTCTTGTAATTGTTCTTCATCAAAAGTTCACCTTTATCCTGTATAATCACCAATCTAAAACTTTGTGCTTCCAAGTTGAATGATTGTAAATGGTTTGGGGTACCATACAAAATGGTTCTAGAATATGAATCCTCATTTGAATAATTGAAGCATTCAGTATTTGAAGTGTTTAAGCTTACTTGAGTAGGAGATGTATGAACATTTGAAGATGAGCCGCTCATAGATTGATGTTGATGATGGTGGTGATGGTGGAGCGGTAATAATGGATTTGAAGGCACGCCTTTATTTATATGTTCATTGGATCTATTATTGTTGAACAACCGACCCAGCATCTTTGTATTGACAAGAATAGCTCTTGAATAGCCTTTATAATGGTCAAGTTGAAGATTTTTGTTGTTGTTGTTATTCTTTGGGCCTTATAAGGCCAATATCTTTTTAAGGAGCTTTAGCCATAAAACCTAGTAAACCAGCCAACCCAGCAAAGACAGACCGTGTATAACCAAGCAGTGGCAGCGATAGATGGAAACCAGATGCAGAACCCTATGTGGAGTGTTTTGGGCAGTTGTTGTAGAATAATAAGCTCAACCCAAACGAACGATAAGATCTACTCCCACAGAAGATCAAACCACAGTGAACAGCTGAGACAATAGGATGGATGAGGGCTAAAACCAGCACTGGGGATAAACGACGACTATGAGCAAGATGGTCCTTCAGAGCCAGGCCAACCGAGTGCAGTATCAAAACGATAATAAATAAGCAAATTTCAAAACCTTTCAAAACGTCGTTGTCGAATTGTTTTTGGTTTTGATCATTCAAATTTTAAATTTGGCGCAAAGAAATTCGTCACGCGCCACACGCGCCTTATCCAACGGCTGCCGGTAGGGTGACTGCTGGAATTCGCGAAAACCAGTTCACTACAAACTATATCTGAATTATAAGCCCATAAAGAGGTTATTATTTGGATGATATTATGTTTATTAGATATAGATGAATCCAATGCTTAATGTAGTGTAATTTTTATTGTCAAATTCAAAAAATTTCAAATTTGGTGCTCTTTTTATAAACTTTTAAAGTTGAATTTAATCTTTATTAGTCCATTTTTTTTACCTTTAATAACAATTTAGTTTTTAAAGTGATCATTTTTAAGAAAATAACTGCTTCAAAATAAACAGAAAATATATCTGAATACTCTTATATAAGATCTTGCCTATATACCTTAATTAAGTTTGAAGTTAAATTGAAGTTTTAATGTTGATGATTAGTAATAGATTACATAATAATAGGTGCTAATCTAATACCTTCAAACCAGAACATTAATAATTATAGTGCCATGGTTTATAATGTTTTTGAAGAAGAGTAAGAGCTAACTATCATATAGCTAAGTTTTTGAAGCCTCCGATGTGAAAAGTAAGTGTTATGCAGCGAGATTTTAATATTCGATCTAATACAGCACGTTGGGCTGCTATGAGATCATGAGACTACAATTAATTACCAGCTTCTCAAAACAAAGGTTAATGGAATGCTCCAAAAAAGATGATTCAATCAATAGAAATTGAAATCACTTATATAATACCTAAATCAAGCCCATTTCTCCTGTTCTATTCAACCAAACTTCGACGGATTTGACAGCCATTCGCGAAACCTGATCTCGAACAAGGTTATCAAATCCATCAAAAGCAGCTTAAATAGAAGAATAAAACCAGAAAGGCATTCAGAAAGCACGAAATCCTATTTAAAAACCTGTCAGAATACATAGTAATGACTATCCGCTTTTACAAGTCTTTTATCGGTTCCAAAGACGTTTTAGCTAAATCTGCCTGTCTCGCTTATCAGCCACATAATTTTTGTATTCTTTGACACCCATTTTTTCTGATTTGGTGATGATGAATCAAAACGATGACAAAACAACAATTATTACTTCCATTGATGAGCCTTTAGCTGCTGCTCATACCTGATCAAGGCTGACACAATCACCATTACTAAAAGCTGGATACACGCAGTACGTTTTTGCTCCGATAAAAGTGCTTTGGGTGTTGGATATATAAACTGGCTGAATCCAATCTTCATAAACAAACTGCAATAATATAATTAATATAATGCATCGGTCATGTCTAGCTCAATTCAACAAGCGTCTGGTGAGAAGTCCCATTTCAGATTCTATGATCCTTTCAAAAAAGATAGAGATCTCATATACAAACACATTGGCCTTACAAAGAAGATAACAAAGTATTATCAATATGGAGCAATCATTTTATTAATATCTTTAACCCTCATCATCCAAATAACCAAATTGCTAACATACCTTGCCAAAAGAAGAACACTCAACTCCCCTTCATCTTCATCAAAATCATTTTGGTCAATCCAATCATTAAAGTTACAATCATTTCTATTAACTAAACCATCACTACCCATATTTTCATACCTATTCAACGATTATAAAACATGTATCATAATATCCACCTATTATTTAATCAACGGATTTGTGTTTTGGTACAAATTACCAATGGATGATTCTTTCAATCTAGCATTAAGAGCGGGTCTTGTCTCTGGTACAAATATCCCATTATTATATTTAATACCTTTAAAGTCTGGTCCTTTATTATATTTGATCAATCAATCTTATGAGAATATGATTGTTTATCATAAATTCATTGGTATCCTTGTTGTTTTAATGGCTTTGGTACATGGTGCTGCATTCTCATATTGTTTGAGTTGGGATTATTTATTGAATGATATTAAAGCGAAAACTGGGTTTGGCAGTATTAGTGCATTCATTGTTTTAGCTATTGCATCCACTGGTGTTGTTAGGAACAAGTTTTATGAATTGTTTTACTATTTGCATATTTCAAGTTTTGTCTTGTTTTTACCAATTTTTTATCATCATCATTATGTTTGTAAACCATTTGTTATTTTTGTTACAAGTTGTTTAGCCTTTGATAGAACCATTCGTTGGTTTTCCAAAATTTGGATATTGGAATGTGAAGTATTATCAATTGATCCTGAAGATGATATGTTGATTCTTTCAATTGATACAGATATAGGGAAATTATCCAAATTTCAAAAATTTATATCATTCTTATTATTCAAAACATCAAATTCAAACTTTACTTGGGATTTATCAAATCATTTATTCATAAATATACCCAAAATAAAATTGCTTCAATCACATCCATTTACAATAGCAAATACTCCAGATTCCAAGAATCCAATTTTAATCATCAAGATTCATTCAGGTTTCACAAAGAAACTATTCAATAAAGCACAACAAAACAAAAGATTCACTTGCTTTATACATGGTCCATATGGTAATTCTGCTCAAAAATTCCCCAATATAATCAATCCAGATCCATTCATGGAATTACCAATCCCATATCGTATTATCAACCATGAATCAACTCCATTAATTGGGCCAACTAAAAAACAAAAGTCATATACCCAAGTTACCACAATTTCCAATCCTTCTTCAATATCTTCATTAAGCTCAATGAATTACAAACGACAAAAGATTATATTAATATGTGGTGGAGCAGGAGTCTCATTCACGTTACCTTTACTAAACATTTATCACAATAACCCACTATATGATGTTTCATTCATCTGGGTAATAAGAAATACCAAACCACTTAGACAAATAAAATTTGATAAAAGAGATGATATTATAATTTGGTGTACACAACAAAGAGGAAGACCTAATGTTAAAAATCTCTTGTATGATACAATAAATACAACATATTCCAAAGTAAATATAATGGCCTGTGGACCAAATTCATTAATTCATGATATAAAGAAATTCTCAACTTTTGAAATTGAGAAAGGTAATGATATAAATCTAATAACTGAAGAGTTTTCATTTTAATCCATAATTGGTCTCTAAATAAACGTTGATACCCGTAATAATACACCACCATGTAACTCCAATGATCCCAATCTTCCTATCAATAAACCAACCATTAAGAGGAATAGCCACTGCATAGAAAATCAACATTAAAATCAATCCAAAACTACTCATTTTGAAATTCAAATCAATCTTCAACTTTAAAAATTGTGAAGAATTCTCAAAATTAACAATCAACCCATTAATACCAATTCCAATCAAGATATATAATAATGGCGATCCGAAACATGCATTTATACCAATGACACTAAGGTTCAACTCTGCTAATGTTAAATTTGAGATTAAATCTCCCGTGGAATTCCCCAATGCCAATATTGTCAATCCTAGTAAACTTTCAGAAATCCTGAAAATGACACCAATGTTTTTCAAAATGGTTATAAGATGTGATGATGTTGTCACTATGATGAGGATTGATGATACGAATCCCACGAAAGGGATTGTATATCTGTGATGATGATGCAAAATGATGTTGATTAATAAAAGTGAAATGGAGATGAGTAATGTTAGATAAATGGGGAGATTTGTGAAAAGTAGGTATTTGAAAAAAATTGGAATGATGAATAATTGAATATTGAATAATTTTTTTTTGAACTCTATTAATGATTGAAATTCCCCAATTTCAAGATCTTTTGAAAAAACTGGTATTAACAAGTTGAGTGAAAATAATAATGGTAATGTTGCTATTGATAAGAATGAATTTGTATCAGTTTCATCATTAAAAGTTGCAAATAAATGCATCCATATTGAATCCTTCTCTTCTTCAGCTTGTTGCCCTTGTACTATAGGAATTGCAATTTCCTCCTCTTCAACTCCCTCCAATATTATAGATGGTGGTTGAACTGGTGCTGGTGCATACAGAACATGTTTAACCAAAGGATCACTCTCACTCCTTGTTCTTATCACCTCATCTGTTGATACACTTCTCTCTGGAAATGAAGGTACTTGTAAATCTCTAAAATTTTCAGTGCTCCTCACACGAGGTGAACTTATTGGTCTATTATTAGTTTGGAAATCTGGGGATTTTGTTCTCCATAATTTCATAGCATCGTAAAAACTCAATTTTTGTAAACCTTTTGACTTATTTTCATCTAATGATGATCTTATTGAATGCTCATATCCTTCTTGAGGAACTAAATTTGGTGTTAAATAGTTTTCTTCATCTTGACGTGGTGGCATTGGCATCAATTCTTCAGGTTCTTTACCTTCATTTGTGAAAAAAATTGAATAATTGACATAGATCAGATATAGCAACACCATCAAGATACATTCAAAATTCATCAATTTTTCATCATGAACAAAATATAAAGATATTAAAATCAAAGCCATGAAGAAATACAAATCTTTGCTAAATTCAAAATGATTCACTTGAAAAGGTTTCAAAATACCCATGCTTCCAATAACAAAACAAATCACAAAGTTTGCAGAGCCTAATAATTCACCAATTGCCAAAGAGCTCGAATTTGATTTGAATGCAATATAAGTACTGAAAATATCTGGAGTTGCATTCCCCAAGGATAATAGAGTTAACCCACTGATTCTATTTGAAATCTTCAAGTGCTTTGATAACAAGTCTAGATTTGGATAAAGGAAATTTGAAGTAATTAATCCGAAAATAATGAATATTATAACTAACCCAATGAAAACTCCTAAACCTAACCCAATCCTAATTCTTGAATCTTGATCACAATAATAAACCCGAGATATTTTGAACAAATCAATATCACAGTTCTGTGTAATATAAGAGCATATAGCGGATGAATCGCCTTTTTGGAATCCAGAAACATCACAAGTGTGATGGTCTGTCAAAGTGTCATTATGTTTAGCAGCAATATTAATACTCTCACCTTGATAATCAATTGCAGCAACGTTCAAGCAGTAAAAAAAAAAGCCTAGTGGGAATAAGTATATGAACAAAATCAGCCAATGGTGTCTCTGGATGGTGCTCCTTACTTTATAACGAGCCATCAGCCTTTTTGTTTTTGAATTACTACATTCTGTATACAAAAGTTGTTTTAAAAGCTGTTTTTTTGACATTTTTTGAAATGACAGTATATTCTGATTTGGCCCAAAGAGGTAATATACCTATCTGGGAAAGGGTCACGTGCACGAGATAAAAAAGAACAAAATTTCGCGCTTCTGTGTTTTTTTCCAATTGAACCGTGATCTGGAAACGGTTTGATCGAAGGTCTGATTGGAATTCTGAGGGGGGAGCTATTGGTATCCATATTCAATCCTTTTCACTGTGTTTGCTGAGTGATAGTCACCGTCAATTTGCTACTAGACTCGCATTGTTGCTCCAGGAAAGAAAAATGGCTTCTCAAATCGCATCGTTCTTTACATCAAACAGGTATCATGATCCTCTATCACATGTTGAACTTCCCTTTATCAACCAATACGTGAAACCTCTATACAACAATGAAGTACTAGATAAACATATCCATGAACTGGTTATTATCATCCTGGGCTATCATTCAATTTATGTGTCATCCTCAATATTTGCGCCGTTATTATTCCCAAACGCGTTCAAGACCTTATCTACTAAAAACAAGATTGATTTCCATATTCATGTTGTTTCCATGGTACAAGCCATTTTGATTCTATTTGCAATCATACCATTGTTCAATGATCCTATTCTTTCAGAGGATAGAGTGTTTGGATATACGCCCTATGGTGGATTGATTGCAACTATGGCTTTAGGTTATTTTCTTTGGGACACTATAGTTTCACTAGTTTATGTTAGGTATTTTGGTATTGGATTCCTACTTCATGGAATTGTTTCATCTGCTGTTTTTTGGATTGGTATTCAACCTTATATCGTCCATTATGCTGCGATTTTCATCTTGTTTGAAATTTCAACACCTTTCTTAAATTTAAGATGGTTTGGTATAAGATTTCCAAAATTGTTTCCTGATTGGTTTAATCTAGTTAATAATGCTATTTTGATTTTGATTTTCTTCTTTATTAGAATTTGTTATGGATGGTATCAAGCATTCCAGTTGGGTACTGATTTTTATAATGCTTCAAATGATGAAAGGTTCAATCTATTATACACTATTGTCATCATGGGTGGTAATTCAGTCTTGAATGTTTTGAATCTTTATTGGTTTTATAGAATGGCTAAAGTTGCTTATGCTGTGATTGCCGATATGCTTTCTGGTGGGAATGAACATGATGATGCTAAAAAAGATATATGATATTCCTACAAGAAAAACAACAACTGAAAACAATAGTAATTTCTATTCTATAAATCTTTATATTGTTGATATTCTGGAGTCTCTAAAGTCTTCAGCCCAATACTGATATCTGTTTGAATGTCTTTGATCAACGCTTCTATGGTATAGTATAGTTAGTATAGAGAAATAGAGAGATGTTAATGCATTTGGAAACTCACCTTTTGTAGTATAATTCAATTCTGGTCTTATATAACCCAATACATTAAAAGACACAGAGGCACCATAAAACGTCGTTGGGAACTCGTGGATGATATGTAATTCCACAGCTTTTTCTTTATTTCCATAGAATGGGTTCCATCCTATTGACATAACCATTGGTAATACAACATTTAGATCCTCACCATCTTTTAAACCATATCCGTATTTATAATCAACATCTGTTCCATTTTCTCGTTGTTTTGTTTCCGTTATTTTGTGCTCGTCACTTTTACCAACTTTAGCGAATCCAAAATAGACACCTGGATCCAATGTTGTAACTTTTGAAACTTGTTTAGTGGAAACGTTAGCAGTTGGGATACCTAGTTCTGAAGAACCTCTTCCAAAACCTGCCACAATTTTCACGTTTCGTTCTGTGATGGGATATGGTGCTCGTGGTGCTTTTGGAATAGGGACATCTGGTCTGGCCATGGCGACTGTTCTTAGAAGGCGTGGTACGGTTGTGATATGGGCTCTGGAGAGTCTGCAAATTGAGTGTTTGGTGAATATTGAGAACATTCTTCCTTAAAGAGTCAAAAACTTGTACTGAATCACGATTCGCGAATTGCTCTTAAATGTGAAATTGATAAAGAATTGAATAATCTTCACTTCTGAATTTGCCACAAGAAACCATTGAAGAACTTCGTTGTTAAAATGGATCAAGAGGGTGAATCAAAGGATGCTAGTATCGAAGATGTATCAACTGCTGGTGGAAAAGGTCGCAAAGAACTTGACTTGAGCTATGGCAGCCTTCCACAGGAAACTCGCTTGTTCTTGAAGCACAAGAGGGAGTATATCACAAACTTATTCTCTGAAGTTGGGAAAGGAATCTGGGAAATAGATTTGCTCAATATCTTTGACATCCAATCCCAAGACAAGATACGTATCAACTCGATGTTGATAAAGCTTTTATTTGATTCTTGCTTTATGTTGACTTGTGATGGTGACAATAAGGATTTTTTGAATGAAATTGGGTTTACAGGTAACTTTTACCTGTTGTACAAACTCATTTTGGTCTTGCCTACTTTTACAACTTACATATTAAAGGATGATGGTAACAATATAGCTGATTGGAATCTCAACAATATGATGGTTGGTCAAAATGAACGCTTAGCTCCAGAGACAGTGCCATCTGGTACTAGTTTGATTAGAAAAAGAAGGCTTTCTGCAAATGATTCCGGCTCGAAAGGTTCTCAACAGAATTATATTAGAAACATTGTGGCTGGAAAGTCACTAAACATTAGATATGTCAATGCAAAGATCCCAAATCCTGCTACAGCTGGTGCAAATGATAAAAAAACAATCTTTGATGAGTTTCGCTCACTTTCAGACAAAATGGAGGGATACTTGGACCAAAGATTGAAAATGATTGAATTCGACAAGCTCTGCACAGAATATGCACACATTTGTCAAGCCATATATAATATAGCACCAGAAGAGATTGATCTTTCAACATCAACAGAGGATTCCACGTTTGCTCCAATATTTGACAAACTTTACATTACACCAGTGATGAAATTGGTAAACTTGACTTTGTCAAAAGAGAAGGAATTTGTTGCAAGCAGAGTAAACTTGAAAATTGCACCCAATCACTTCACAAATACTTTTAAACCAGATGATGCTGAAGAAGCTCATGGAATTCCAGATATCACCATTTTTCACAAAGATACAAAATCTGCTACACTAGTTACAGAAATCAGAAAACCTTCAATTTTCAAAACCGAATTCAAGATGAATAACCACCGGAACAAATCAAATACAGAGCTTCTGCGATATGATCAAATGGAATCGATTTTTCTTCAAAGCTTAAACCACAATTTTCTTTGTAATAGAGATTTCGGATTAATCAGTGATTTGGAAGGTACTTTTTTATATCAGCTCAAGTCCATTGAACCTCATGATTCAGCTGAGAGTACTGGAAAACATGATTTGGTGGTTGAATATATCGTTGTCAAAAACATTTTGGCTGGTAATATGGTTGAACACGAAAACATGCAAGGCGATAAAGATTTGGCATGTAAATACTGGGAGGATCTGTTGGGAAATGAAAAGGTTTTAACTACAAGGTTATTGATTTCTGTTATTTTGGTTTGTAAAATTTTATCAGTCAACTCTGGAAATGCTAATGACTATAATTTGCCCAATGAAAGTGATCAAATAGAGAAATTGCAAAACATTTTTCAAAGTTTTGTGGGTCCAAGAATAAAGATACTGAAAGAACGCACTGAAATAAATTCAAGAGAAAGAGGATTTGATTTTGAAGTTGAAGGTCCTCTCTTGAAAATGCACCGATCGAGTCAAGTTTCACAGCTCCCAAGCAACAATACCTCTGAACATAAATCACCTTCAGCAGAAGATGATAATATTGCCGCTTCAAAGAATAGTAAGGTCGAAGAATCAGATGATGAAGAGTTTTTTGAGGTGGTAAAACGTGGAATAATAAATTATAAATTCCCTTTATTGAATGTTCAAATAGAAAATGCAATTTGTGAGAATCAAAGATTCTCTTTAATTTTGAGAATGAATATTGCAAATTTCATGAAAAAATTTGGCAATGGGCTGAAATCTATTGAAACTCATTTGCTTGATGGATTAAGAACAAGGTTGGGCAACAATGTTTCAGATTCCGAGAAACATTTAATTTTAAAAGTTTATGACGAAAATAATATAAAAGCTGTGTTTTATCAATTAATGTTGGATTATAGAAATGCCTTCCAGCCATTCAATTTCGTGGACAGTCGGGTTATCAATATGTACAATGGCAGTCCTAATGCATATTATCGCTATGTTCTTGATACAGAGTTTTTGGCTGAAAAAAAAGCTTATATTCAAATTGTTAAGAATAATCTTTCATGTTTGAGAAGAGCAGAGGATGGTGACGATGCTGCATTGAAGGAAATAATTAAAATCCCAAGAATTATCACAGTTATTGAAGAAGACGAGTTTCCATACTTCTTATATGAGGAAATTGAGATTCATGGTCCTTGTATTGTGATGGAGGAAGTTTCAAAAGATAAACCACAAACAGAAGATGAATTGAAAGAAGTTTATGAAGAAGTGGAAAAATTACACAGACTGGGTATATGTCATATGGATCTTTCTTTGAGGAATTTGTCTTACTCTAAAGATCAAGGATTGAAAATCTTTGACTTTGGTTATGCCCAGTTTCAAGGTCTGACTGAAGAAGATTGGGATGCACTTTGTAAGTATGATTTTGAGTGTTTGGACAAGATCAAATCTAAACTAGGAGAAACTGATTAATTGTGCTTAACTCTTGCTTTGATTTGCTTATTAACAATATATTTGCTCTACTTTAAAACATGCAGTGTAGTTGACTTGTATTTCTAAATTAATATCGGCAACTACTAACAAGGGAGCACTTTTGAGCTAAAGTCAAAGAGATATCTAACTCAAGTTTTAATTGGTTGCTATTTAATCTCATGGCTCCATCTCGTCAAACTTGTTAATTTTCCCAGTTTGACTCCAATCTTCTCCTATGGTTTGTAAAGTCTTTGCAGCCGATAATTTCTTATCCTCGACCGACTGTACCCATGACGTCCATAATAAATTCAACATTTTGACACCTTGTTTGCCATAAACTTGAGTGAATTCAAATGCGGAAGCTTCCCACCAAGATGAAATAACCATAAAATGTGCATTTGTTAATAAATTATTGGGTTGATTCACAATTCTTGCCAACATGATCCATCCATTTGAAATTGGTAATGGATGTTCCAAATTGTTGTAATATTTAGCATCTAATGGTAATCTCGTCAAGACACTATATACGGTCATCATACCAGCCATTCTTTCATCATAACTAACTTCATCTTCCCATTTACTACCATCATGCCTTTTCCAACCCATACGTAATCGACCTTCCTCTGTATCAATTGCACATGTATATCCAATTACAAATGGACATTTTTTCACAAATCTAGCAATTAAAAATTCTTTCAATTCAGGAAATTCCACCATCAAATTCAAAGCTAATTTACCCAATGGTAATGAAGAACTTGCATGAGCACGAACTTCAGTTTCAGATTGTGCCACTATGGCTTTTGCCACAAAATTCATTATCCATTTGAAAGCTAGTTCATTTGGTTTTGTTTCATTGATTAATGTGATAACTTCATTACTTATGCGTGATAATTGGGATAAACTATTTGTTAATTGACCAAACTTTGGATTGATTTTTCTTTTATGTTTTGAAATGGCATTTTTAGTTGATAAATCTGATTTAACTTTCAAAACAATATCTGATTTTATCTTTTGGATTAATTCTTTATAATGTAGGAATTGTTGTTCAACTTCAAGATAGTTTGTTATGCCTTTACCCTTTTTAGCTTCCTGCTCCTCTTGTAATTTTTTTTGCTTTATAGCCTCCTCTTCTTTCTTCTTTTTCTCCTGGGCAGCTTTTTCCTCTAGATCTTGTTTCTCTTTAGCCAATCGTTCAGCCTCTTCTTTTGCTTTTTGTTCAGTTTCTTTACGTATACGTTCTTCTTCCTCTTTTCTCTTTCTTTCTTCTTCTTCCTTTTTCTTTCTCTCTTCTTCCAACCTTTTTTTCTCTTCCTCTTCTCTTCTCTTTCTCTCTTCTTCTTGACGCTTTCTTTCTAATTCAATAGCCTTGATCTGTTCAGCAACTTCTTTAGAACGTTTTGAAGCTCTTGATTCCAGATCGTTGATAATATGCTCTTGTCTTCTTTGGAAAAACGCAGCTTCAGGTCTTTTGGTTTCAGATATTGGAGAAGATGTATTTCCATAGTTTAAATGACTTGATTTAGTTTGTCCCAGTATTGGAGATGATGCTATATTGGGTTGTCCCTCTTCAACTAGTGATGATCTTCTTGTATGTCTCGTTGAAGTTGGCCTGCTTGTATGTCTGCTGCCTGGTCTAGAGTTTATTCTCGAACTCAATTGTGAAGATTCCAAAGCCATCAGATAACGTTCTTTGAATTTTAGATCTTTGAGTAATTCAGATAAATCATCAACATTTTCTGACCCAGAACTTGGTGGAGCTGGTTGTTGTTGATTTCCAGGGGAGTGGTAGTCCGATTTAGCTAATGGAGAGGAATTGTAAACTTGATAAGTCTTTCTAAGCTCTTTTCTTGCCAGATGCTTATTTGTAGGCGTCTTGGAAGGTGTTAGGATTGATTTCAATGGTGAAGAGTCTATCAAACCCAAAGGACCATCTTCTGTGTATTCGTCATCTGAAAGGGAGTCGTAGCCTGGATCAATGTCGTCGAACGAGCTGTTGGGGATTGTGCGATGCGGACTGAACCTCATTCTGGCCTAGCAACAGTTCCAATTTGCGTGTGTTGTTGTGATGATTGTTTGGCTTCTGTTGATGTTTTCAAAGTACTTTTTTTTTACACTTCAAGAGAAAAAAAAACAAAACTTCAAGAAGCTGGAAAACTCGAAACCAAATAAAACCACTTTTGAACGAATAAGAATGCCACCAAGAAAAAGAACTAGGGCCACTGCCACGCAGCCAAAGAGTGAGCCAGCTGCTAAAAAGGCTAAAAACCCAGTTGATTTGGCTCCTTTACCACCAAAACCTGTTGTTGACACCTATAGACCTGATGATCAAGAAACCAAAGAGGAAATCGCTACAAAGGTACAAGATCTAATACTAAAGACCTCTGAGAGATTGAAAGTGGAGACAGTGGGTCAATTCCAATTGCGAGTCTCGATATCAAATACTGAAGGAGACTTGTTACTAGGTGAAGATGGGAAAACTAATGTGGAGAATATTCAAAAATCATCAAATACTATCTTGTTGATTACCGATAAAATTGTTGGTGGTATCGATAGGGAAGTTATAATAACGGGTGGTATTAAAGAGATCATAATTGCTACTGTTAAAATAAGCTATTTCTTAGCAAATGTCCTTGAAATCGGGAAAATAGATACAACTTATCATACAACGTTGTTCATTTCAAATAATTTGATTGAATCAGTTGGTACTACCAAGTTGAAAGAGTTGATACCTTCAATTGACATATCATCAGTTTTTGTTCCTTTTTCGAACCATCAATCAGTTTATCTTGCGGGAAGAATATCCCATTTGATGTCTTCACTTGCCATTTTGTTGGAAAATGTTGCTGGTATCTCTAAACAACAATTATTAAAGGATTTCCCACCAGAACAAATTCCAGTGATTGGATTACAAAATGGCGAGTTCATACGATCTGAAACAAATCAAAGATTATTAGATAGAAGTAAACAATCATTAGCTAAATACCTAAGCCAGGATTATAAAGGTGAAAGACCACAACAAGTTGATCCAAAGATCCATACTCAAAAACAGATTGAAGAAGCTATAAAGGAGTCACAAAAGAAGTCCAAGACTCTAGAAACATTAAAACATGCGATTGATGTCCCTGTGGATTTCATAAGTTCCATTATTGGTAAGAATGGGTTAAAGATTACAGAGATTAGGTCCAAATCCAATAGTAATGTCATTATAGATGACCAAATCAAGAATAACCTCTACAAAGTGGTGACCATCACTGGATTGCCAGAGTCAAACCTAATTGCTCTTCAGTATATAGCTGGTCTCATTGTCTAAAAAGGAACCATCATTTTACTCCGATCTGTAGTTTTTCCATAGTTAAGCCTTTTTTCTGCAAGGGGACGATTTAGTTTTTTTTTGGAAGAAAAAGACAAAAATAGTCAAAATATTGACACTTTTGAACCCATCAACAACTTAACAAATCGTATACATTGAGAATTGAGAATGGGTGCTGGTGACAATCCAAAGAGACGGTCGCTGCTGTTCCCCTTCGCCAAAAGCACGCCCAAGGAGACCAAGTTCGAGGTGGTGAACAGAAAGAAGAATCCTGCTGCAAACCTCAACAGGCCTTCTGCTCCTTCACCGTTTGACTCCCAGCCTTCAAGACCCCCAGAGAAGAGAACTAGCTCACCTAGTCCCGCTAGCTCTGCCTCTATGCTTGCCTCCAGTGCTTCTAGAGCCAAATCACCACCAGCTTCAACTACTTCACCGCGTTCCACATCACCTCATCATATCCCATTGGATTCTCGAGCTATTAACCCTTTTAAAGCTCATCATCATACTTCATCATCCAAAAAAGATGCCATTTCTCAAGCTGATTTACCATCATCTAATCTCGATGTCAACTTCAATGTACCTCCAGTTCCAGATTATAATTCAACACTTCATGCCCCACCAGTCACAATAAAAGGAAGAACAGTTTCATTGACAAAGAAAGATGCACCACCAAGAAGAAAACCACCAACTCTTGGTACTGTGGTTGATCCTCAAATCAATAACAAGAGTGTTTCAGATTTATCAATTCAAAGTGCTGGCTCAGATTCATACTCTTATCAAAGCTCTGGATTGGATTCAAGATTGGCCAATGATCAAACCAATGCTAGGTCTGTTGAAGAGACTACATTGGAAGATGATGACGAAAATGTATTACTTCCTACAATACAGAAACCAGAACCTGCTGCTCCTCCAAGCATTGTTGTTACAGAAGAACTCTTAAGCGCTGTCCCAAAAGATACTGAAGATGAGGAACTGGAACAAGTGGAGCAAAAGACTGCTGATTTGAAATTATCAGAGCCATTAGATGAAGAACCAGAAGTCCCAGCAAAAATTGAAACGCAAGTTGAAGAATTAGACGATATTGAAACTTCATCTATCCAGGATGAACCAGAACTTAACATCAAACCAATTGCTCCATTTTCTGATCCCTCTAAAAATACATCACAAGTTGATAGTTTCACCTCAGCTTCAGAATTTATGGATACCGAGCAAGTGGAACAAGTTCCAAAAGTTGAACCAAAGAATGAAACTCAATATGATGATGACCCAGATTCAAGTTTTGAAATCAAACCATTATTTTTCCATAAAAAATCTAAAAGTTCAGCTTCTGAAGGCGCACTAAGGAATGATGCTAGTATATTCACCACTGAAGGAGTTGTTACATCACCAAAGCCGACCCATGCAAAACAATTATCACTGTCCGATGATATCTTGAAAGATATTGAAGATTTCCAAAGCGCAATTCCTTCACACGTTCAAGATGAAACTGATGAAGTGTCTCCTGTTTCCCCATTAGCTTTACAGAAAGACACAAGACCAACAATAGGTCGCACTGGACTTTATGATGAAATTAGTGAAGATGAAGATTATAGTTTCGAACAGGATGTCCCTCAAAGACAACTTGTTGTACAAAACCCAGATTCAGAAATAGAAGATACCAATGAATCACTGTTTCAAGATTCCTCAGACGAAGGTCATCAACCTGGGAACTATAATGCGTTTGATGATAAAGAAGAATTGAAACAAAGCGAGTCTTATGATTATGACCATGTTGGTGGAATGAACCTAGGTTCCCGTGGTAGTTCAGTTCAACCAGAGATTGATTATCATAATAATGATAATAATGCACCGAAGAGCGACCATCAAAGAATACCACTTACAGATGATGAAACCGGAGAGGAGGAGGAAAGTTCGAAAGTGTATGAAAATGAATTCAACAAATTTGCAGATGAAGCTCCAGATACTACTAGTTCATATGAAGGTAGATTAGCAATACCCAGATCTCATTCATACCATAACATACCGAGTGATGTTGCATCACATAATGAAAAAGAATCATACAATTCTAACACTGGAAGCTCACCTTTAAAATCAACCACGTCAGAAGAAGATGGTGACAAGTTAACTTTTGAACGTCGTTCAGTTGGAAATGCAAGCAGTGATCAAGCGTCATCTTATAATTATTATTCGCAAGCTGCTCAAACCAGAAAGTTCCATGTTGTAAATACTGGTGATTATTCAGATGAAGATCAAAGCTCTTATAATCCATCATTTGATAGAGATCACCCGGAAAGTTTAGATCATGATTTTAGTGTTGTTCATCAACAAATCACCAATAGCTCAGATAGAGGAAGAGATACAGATGAGGAAGATTTATTAAGTTTCACTGCCAAATCTCCACAACAAACAGATTTCAATTTCGAAAATAAAACTACTCCTCAACAAATGATGGGAAATAACGTTAGTGATGTTGATTTATCCCAACCTGCTAAGATCACTCCAGTTTCTAATCTTGATAGTCCAACTTCAATTACAAGTCCTGTAAATTCATATGATCGAAGGGAAGATACAGTGGCTCCTGTACAATATGTTTCAACTTATAATGGGTCTTCAAGAAGACCACCTCCATTGAGTGACGCTCCAAAGACAACTAGAGTTGCTCGAAGTTTATCCACATCTGTTCCACCTCCTGTCAATTACAACACTTTGCAAGAAGGAATAGCAGCAGCAGAAACTATACATCCTGTCGAGACTCATGAACCTGAAAAATCAAGCTATGTGGAAATGTTGAGAATGAGTTCAGGAACTGCAAACAGTGATGTCCCAGCAAGTGTTTGGGGGTTACCTATTGGTATTGCAGATATCGACCATTCCAAACTAACGGCTACTGCTTCGAGAACTGCATATAAGAGAGCTCAAAGAACAAGTAAGAGTGATTTGAAACATGGTAAGATTAAACCAAGATTATTGGCTTCAGAAGTTGATGATGATGATTCCACAGAAATGGTTTCAGGAATCGAGAGTCAATCTATAGACCTTGATAAGTCCAGAACACCTTCAATCCATTCACCAACTCAATCATATTTGAATTTTTCACCAACTAGAACCCCTACAAATACTGGTGTTTCAAGATCTGGTACCTTGATTGGAGATAAGATTGGTACACAATTGGGAAGATCCGGAAGTGTGATGAGCACAGTGAAACCTGTGAACAACATGACTCTGTTTATTGCGAACCCTGATATCGAAGAAGATGATTAGCTCGCTACTTAATGAATAATTTATTTTGACTACTTGTAGCTTTGACTATTTGATTTCCTCTTTGGGAAGTCAACGTCAGATCATTGAAATTTTCGAGAAATGGCCCCCTGGTGAAAAAGAACAACAACAACAGTTTTCATTGGAATTCAAGATCCAAAAGACATCGTCAACCAACTTCTTTTCAATTAGGCATTGGTCAAGACTATCAATACAAGCTATTTGGATCTGAGACAAATTCATTGAACTTGTTTCTTTGCTGATTCTTTTTTTTAACGCGCTTTTAAAGACAAGAAAAAAAGATTGACAAAAAAATTGTACGTGTTATTTTAAGTGATAATTGAAAAGAACAACAACTAACTGAACAAGAATTGAAAGAATGTCAGAAGCTGCTTATACTCTGGTCTTTGACCCGAACCCAGCTAGCAAAGTTTCTGTTCAAGAGTACAGAACTTTATTGGAAAAGGGTAAAGATGAATCTAAAATTGATGCAATGAAACAAATTTTGATTGCAATGCTTGACGGTAATCCAATGCCAGAATTATTGATGCATGTTATTCGTTATGTTATGCCATCAAGAAACAAAGAATTGAAAAAATTGTTATATTTCTATTGGGAAATTGTTTCCAAATTAGATTCTGATGGTAAATTAAGACAAGAAATGATTTTGGTTTGTAATGCAATTCAAAGAGATTTACAACATCCAAATGAATATATTCGTGGTAACACTCTAAGATTCTTGACAAAATTGAAAGAACCTGATTTATTAGAACAACTGGTTCCATCAGCTCGTGCCTGTTTAGAACATCGTCATGCTTATGTTCGTAAATATGCCATTTTTGCCATATATTCAATCTATTTAGTTTCAGACCATTTGATTCCAGATGCACCAGAAATTATCAATGATTTCTTGATCACTGAAACAGATCCAACATGTAAGCGTAATGCTTTCATTGCTTTGGGTAATTTAGATAGAGAAGCTGCTTTACGTTTCATTCAAGAAAATGTTGCTGCATTAGATACCATAGACCCATTATTACAACTAGCATTCATTGAGTTCATTAGAAAAGATAATGCCCCTGAGTTAAGAACGAGGTACATTAATTTACTTTCAGAACTACTTGAATCAACTTCAAACACTGTTATTTATGAAGCAGCAAACACATTAACTGTTTTAACAAGTAATCCATCATTTATTTCATTAGCTGCCAACAAATTCATCGAATTAGCCATCAAAGAATCTGATAACAACATCAAATTAATTGTTTTGGAAAGAATTCATGATATTCATAAAAAAAATGCTGGTATACTGGAAGATTTGACTTTAGATATCTTGCGAATTTTATCAACTCCAGATATAGATATCAGAAAAAGAGCTATTGAAATTGCATTAGATTTGATTTCTAGCCGTAATGTTGATGAAGTTTTAAAATTATTGAAAAAAGAGTTACAAAAAACAGTCACTTCAGATGCTGATAAATCTGTTGAATATCGCCAATTATTGATTTCAGCTATTCATCAAACTGCTATCAAATTTGGTCAAATTGCTGCCAGTGTTGTTGACTTATTATTAGAATACATTGCTGATTTATCATCCACTTCAGCTTCTGATGTCTTAAGCTTCATTAAAGAAGTTGTTGAAAAGTATCCAGATTTAAGGAGTTCAATTGTTCATCGCTTATTACTATCATTGGATAATATCAGAAGTGGTAAAGTGTTCCGTGGTGCCTTATGGATCATTGGTGAGTATTCTTTAGAAGAAAAAGATATTCAAGAAGCTTGGAAGCATATTCGCTCAAGTGTCGGTGAAATTCCAATCATTCAATCAGAGAGAAAACGTATTGGTGAACCAGAAGGTGAAGAAAAACCAGAAGAACATAAAGCTAACGGATCAAAACCGGTTGTTTTACCAGATGGTACTTATGCTACTGAATCTGCTCTAACTTCAGAAAAGAAATCCACAAAAGAAGAAGTTAGACCTCCGTTACGTCAATTCATTCTTGATGGTGAATTTTACACTTCAGCTGTTTTAGCTTCAACTTTTGTTAAGTTAATTTTAAGATTCCAAGAAATCTCTCAAAATGCTCAAATCTTGAATGCTTTGAAAGCTGAAGGTTTATTAATTCTTGTTAGTATTTTAAGAGTCGGTGAAACTTCATATGTCAGTAAAAAAATTGATGAAGATTCAGCTGAAAGAATTTTAACAGCTATTACCTATATTGCTGAAGGTAAAGAAAGTAAATTGTTAGAAATTGCCTTTTTGGAAGCTACTAGGGATGCGTATAAAGTTCAAGTTGCTGCAGAAGATAAGAGAAAAGCTAAATTAGACGAAGCTGAAATTGCAAAGAACTCACAACAAGTTGATGATGTTATCCAATTTAGACAATTCGGTAAATCTGAAGGAACTGATGTTATTGAAGAAGATTTAACATTAGCTACAGGTGTTAAAGTTGAAGAAGATTTATCATCTAGATTAAACAAGATTGTCCAACTCACAGGGTTTTCAGATGCAGTTTATGCCGAAGCTTATGTTAAAGTTCATCAATTTGATGTTGTTTTAGATGTTTTATTGGTTAACCAAACCACTGAAACTTTACGTAACTTGCATGTTGAATTTGCAACTTTAGGTGATTTGAAAGTGATTGATAAGCCAACAACACAAAATATTCCACCACATGGATTTTTCAAAGTTCAAACTACTGTTAAAGTTACTTCAGCTGATACTGGTGTCATCTTTGGTAACATTGTTTATGATGGTGGTCACGGTTTCGAAAATAAGGTTGTCATTTTGAATGATGTTCATGTTGATATTATGGATTACATCAAACCAGCCAAATGTTCTGAAAACAAATTCCGTACCATGTGGAATGAATTTGAATGGGAAAACAAAATTGTTATCAAATCTAATTTACCATCACTTAAGGATTATTTGGATGAATTATTAAAAGGTACAAATATGACATGTTTAACACCAGGTGCTGTTATTGGTGAAGAATGTCAATTCTTGAGTGCTAATCTGTATTCAAAATCATCATTTGGAGAAGATGCATTGGCCAATTTGTGTATTGAAAAGAAGACAGATGGTCCAATTGTCGGTCATGTTCGTATCCGTTCCAAAGGTCAAGGTTTGGCGTTATCATTAGGTGATAGAGTTGCTGCTATTGCTCGTAAAACAAATAAGGCCAAATTAACAGCTGTTTGATAAAATAATAAAGAGAAGGTATTGATAATTTTGATTATATATAAAGAGAAAAAATTATTTTGTATTGTTTAAAAAGAACGATTGTTTTTTATGTTATTTCTACATGTAGTTAATCATGATCTATTTACATTCGTTTTATAAAACATTATCAAATTTACAAAATCCTCATGGTTTTCTTTCAGTACCATAGAATGGGAAACCATAAGCACTTAGTAAAGTTCTAGCTTCACCATCTGTTTGACCAGTAGTCTTGATAGTCATTGTCATACCATAAGTAAACGGCCAGTTATCTTGGTTACTTTCAATTTCTGGGAAGAATTTAATGTCTTCTGGAGTTAAACCAAAAGTGATGTTACCATTTTTATCACCAGATCTAACAGTTAAACCTCTAAATTCACGAATTCTTGGGAAAACAATTTCAGTTAAAGTTGCAAGGAATTGAGATAACGGTCTACCTTTCAATTCAACTTTAGCACCCATTGGCCAACCTTTACGTAATTTCCATGCAATGACATCTGATCTTGAATGGATAACTTTTGGTTTAGCATTTGTTATTTGTTGTAATTGTAAGGCAGCTGTAATGGCATGATTTGAATTTTCTCTAGCAGCTCTAGCATAACAATTTATCACTAAAGATTCAATTCTTGGTATGTTTTTAGTAGTATGTGGTTTATAATCTGTAGTTTCCACAGCTGAACCTTGTGGTTTTCTTAATGAACGAGATGGATGATTTGGAGATGAACCATCCCATTGTCTTCTTTTTAAACCTAGTTGACGTCTTTCACCGTGTTGGAAGTTTATCAACAACAAATCCGATTGGATAGAGTTTTTGTAGTATTCTTCCACTCTATCTTGGTGTGTGGCAACTGGTCTGAATGCTGGGTTTCTTATATCATTCTTCTCTAGGTTTAATTCTGGGAATCTTGGAGATAATTTGTTCTTGTCAATTTTGACTAAATGATGGACTGGCTTCACTGTGGAACAACCGACTCTTCCTGAAGCAGCACTGGTGGTCGAGAATAAACGAGCACCTCCGTGGCTAGCAACGACTTTCCCACTGAACATCTTTGGCCAACTTAATAGTTCAATAAACCAACTTTTAACTGATCTTTGATCCAACTTTTCACTTAAATTTCGAAGGTTATTTTGGATTTTTTTCACGAAATCACCAAAAACCGGGTAAAAAGTGGATTTTTGCAAGGAAAAAAAAATTTTATGATGAGAAGAGCTTTTGATAACTACTGCGATGAGCTAGATCTTTAAAACCACAAGAAACATCAACGACGAAAATGGCTAAGAAAGAAAAGAGTGTCAAGGAAGAATCCGGTGAAGACAACTATGAAAAAAGAATGTCAGCTGTTTTGCCATTTGCTAAACCATTGGCCCCAAAGAAATTGAACAAAAAAGTTTTAAAGACTGTTAAAAAAGCTTCAAAAGCTAAACATGTTAAAAGAGGTGTTAAAGAAGTTGTTAAGGCTTTAAGAAAAGGTGAAAAAGGTTTAGTTATTATTGCTGGTGATATTTCTCCACCAGATGTTATCTCACATATCCCAGTCTTGTGTGAAGACAGTGCTGTTCCATTTGTCTTTATTCCATCCAAAGAAGATTTAGGTTCTGCAGGTGCTACAAAGAGACCAACTTCAGTTGTTATGGTTGTTCCAGGTGGTGGTAAGAACAAAAAATCTGATGGTAAAGCTGAAGAATACCGTGAAGGTTTTGATGAAGTGGTGAAGGAAATTCCATCTTTGGAATAAATAATTATGGGAGTTTAAGAAAATGAGGTATGAAAACACATAATACACTGTACATTAGCATCAATACAAGTTTGGGTAAACAAAAAGAAAAGGACATTTACAGTAGAATTATGCGTAATTTATGAATTTTTATTTTCTATTGATACAATCTAAAACGAATACTATTCACAATTGTGACTTAACCCAACCTTCAAGACCACCTTTAACAATAATTTCTTGCAAATTTGCACCTAATTCACCAACTTTTTGTTGTAAAACAATTTCACCATCTTTACCATCTCTAACAGTAACAGTGGCAGTTTCAACATCCCATTTTAAAAACCAACCAGTTCTTCTAGTTAATTCTTGTGGAGCATCTTTATATTTTTCTCTCAACATGTTGATTAAATCTGGGATTTCTAAAGTCAACAAGGCATTATTAATACTATTTCTTGAGAAAATGTTACCAAATGAACCAGCAACAACTAATTTCATATCTCTAGCTAAAATTGCAGTAGCAGCTTGTTCTCTTGAAGAACCTGTACCGAAATTGAAACCTGAAATGATGATATCATCAGCATGTGTTTTAGCACCAAATTCAGCATCATAATTTTCCATACAAACTTCAGCCATTTTTTCTCTTGAAACATCATCTTGGTAAGTATATTTACCTGGGTAAATACCATCAGTGTTAATATTATCAGCATCACACAAGATTAATTCACCTTCAATTGATTTTGGGAATTCTGGCAAGACTTCAACACCACCAGTGGTTGCTTCAGCCTCACTTGTTGGTTTTTCTGGAATGATAATTTCGGTCTTGATACCTGAAGCACCATTAACTGGAGAACCATCCAATTCTTCAGGACCACAAATTCTACCACCAACTGCACTAGCAGCAACAACTTCAGGAGATGCTAAATAAGCCAAGGCATCTTTTGAACCCATTCTACCTTTGAAATTACGATTTGTTGCAGAGATACCAACTTCACCTTCTTTTAACAAACCAGTACCTAAACCGATACAAGGACCACAACCAGCAGGTAATGGGATAGCACCAGCTTCTAATAAAGTTTCCCAAGCACCAACATCTTCAGCATCTTTTTGAACATTTGATGAAGCAGCAGCAATGTAAAATTCAACACCTTTAGCGATTTTATGACCTTTAACCACGTCAGCAGCAGCTTTAATATCACTTAGACGAGAATTTGTACATGAAACTAAATATGCCTTATTAATTGGGATGTTTTGGTTTGAAAGATCAGCTAATGAATTTGAAACTTTAACAGAATTTGGACCAGAAATGTATGGTGATAAAGTACTTAAATCCAATACTAAATGTTTAGCATAATAAGCATCTGAATCTGCAGCTTGTTTATGATCAATCAAATCTTGGACAGTTTGTTGATTAACTCTTGGATGTGGTTGAGGTAAAACTTTCAATCTATCTTGATACCAATTGATTAAAGTTTCATCAACAGGGAACAAACCAGATAAAGCACCCCATTCAGTGGTCATATTGGCAATGGTTAATCTATAATCGATTGGAAGTTCATTTAAATATTCACCAGTGAATTCAATAGCATGATTCAAAACTTCATCATTGTTGAAAACACCACATAGTGCCACGATAACATCTTTACCAGTGACATTTTTTGGTAATTTCCCTTTCAATTCCACTTTAGCAACTGGAGGAATCTGCCACCAAGTTTGACCAGTGGCCCAAATCGAAGCAGCATCTGTTCTAACGATTGGTGTACCTAAAGCACCAACACCACCATAAGTGTTTGAATGAGAATCAGAAGCAACGGTCATATTTAAAGGAAATGCATAACCTTCTTCAATCATGATTTGATGACCAATACCTCTACCAGCAGGATAAAAATCCACACCTTGATCTTTAGCAAAATTTTCAATATTTGAATATTTTGTTAAATTTTTTTCAGTTTTATTTTGAACATCATGATCTAAAGTCATAACAACTTGTCTATTATCTTTGATTGATTTAGCACCAAGACCTTTGAATTTTAAAGCAACTGGCCATGAATTATCATGAGACATACAATGAGCAGGTTTAATTGAAACATAATCACCAGATTTAACAATTTTACCTTGCGGTAAACCAACAGCATATTTTTGAACAATTTTTTCAGTTAAATTCTGACCAGCTAATGATCTTGATGTTGTTGAGAAGCAACGAGTCGATAGTCGACTTATATTCTGAGGTATGCTAACCATTTTATCGTTGATTCTTTGGATATTGATGTATGAGGTTCAAGTGTGACTAATCTCGTAATCTATTTTTTTTTTCACTGGGGAAGATTGAAGAAATTGGAGTGAAGATGAAGAACTAGAGACTAATGGGTGTATCTCCAATATAGAAACCAGCTATTTGAGAATGAGTAACTAGAATCTGAACCACAATCAAAAAACAAAGACGAAAAGATCAAAAATATGAATGTTCAAATATGTCTGCTTGAATCATTGACAGGAAGAAACTGAAAAAAAAATATAAAGCCGGTTCGCGAAACTATTGTGGGCCGGAAACGGGCCAATCAGAATCGTCTGATTTGTGATGCTTTGGAAGGGGGTTTCCCAAGTGTAAAGAGTTTTTGAAATGGTATTAAAGTGGTATAATTATATTAGGATAAGGATAATGTGTATATTTGGTTTTTTTGGGTGCTTTTTATGGCCAGTTTGACGAATATTTGAGGAGTCTACAATTTAGTATGGTGTGGTGTGTATCAATATTTCCTGATATGGATGATTGCCTAATTTGGAATGAATATTTTTATTAAAAAGTTGGTATAAACAAATATCAACTCTTCAAATTTATGGAAAGTTTGTAGGAATGTGCATCAATTGAGCATGGGAAAGTTGGATTTGATTGAAGAAAATAGTCAATTGATATTCCACAGCATAGAAAATAATGATTTCACCTTCTTGGTATCTACTGGGGTTGTTCCTTTATTACAATTTATAAGTAAGATTGAAAACACAAAATATTTATTCGTTAGTGATGATACAAGTTTAGCTACAAGGTTTAAAAACGTTCCATATCAGACATCGGTTTATGATTCCAGGTTCTCTGTTGTTGGGTCTTCTTGGGTGACTTATGATTTGTGTATTTATCTAATCAGTGAAGATGTCAGGTTTTTCGAATTGTTTGATTTTATTATACTTGATGGGATAGATGATCGTGAACCCGAATCTGAATACTTGTTTTCTTTGATGTTGAATTTGAAAATGATTGGAAAGTACATCATCCCTCTGAAGTCAAATTTTAAAACAGAGTTATACACTGGATTTGTTGGAAATTTTGGATATACATCAAATGTCCTAAAGCTTAAAGAAGAACCATCGAAAAGCGTTTATTATCTACCTTCAGATCCGTCAAATCTTAATAAAGAAATCATCAAGACAATCAATGACATACTGGTGATTGAAAAAAGTTTAGAACAATGTGATATCTTGGTCATGTTGAGTTCATTTAATGAGATTCAAGTTTTCAAAACTCAACTTGTGGATGCAGACATTAAGCATGATTTCTCCATATTGACAGATTTATCAGCTTATAAAACCATTGGAGCTCATAGAAGAGTTATATTAGCAACAGATTCAAAAATTCTCCGAGATGTTGATCATAGAATAAGGTATATTGTTGACTCTGGAGTTATGAAATTGAAGAAATTTGATGAATGTGGGTTAGAATCCTTTAGTACGAGATTCACAAATAGAAATCAAATTTTACAACATTTATCAATACTGGAACATGGTAATTCTAGTTATTTTGGAATGTTTGTTGAAGACAAAATTGTTGATTTTGAGTATGGTATTAATGATTGCTTTCTTGTTCAATTATTATATTTTTTGAAAATTGGATTAGATGTTGAAAAATTTGAATTTTTGAAATCACCAATGGAACAAGTTATTAAAAGTGCAATCAATTTATCAATTTATCTTGGATTAGTTAAAATTGAAGATGGTTCTGAAATAAAACTAACTGAACTTGGTTCAACAGTGATGAAATTTCAAGTTGAATTAGAGATCTCAAGTCTTTCATTATTCATTGCATTATCAATATCAAATAGATTCAATTCAACAAATGAGCTTTTAAAAATATCATCATTATTGTTAAGTTGTAATGTTGATTCATTATCAAGAGATTTGAAAAATTTTAATCATCACAAGACCAGAACTCATGATGTGCCACAATCAGATTTCCTCACTCTACTAAACATTTTTGACACAATGATCGAGAACCAGCAACACATTAAACAATCATCACAAGTATTTAGAGACAGTGTCATGAGTAAAGAGGCGAAAAAACAGATCTTGCATTGTTTTAAGCAATTGAGAAGTAAATTGAATCAACCAGTTAACTTTGAAAGGGCAATTGAAGATGATATTCAGAAATGTTTATTCTCGGGATTCCAGCTACATGCCAGTACAGTGTTGCAGAATGTGTCAAATCCAGGTACAATTGAATTAGAGCCCATATTAAGCAAAAGACCTGATCGATTAAATGAAATGGACAAAGTCAAGATAATTTTAACTAGTGATCTCTATGAAAACAATGATATCATAATTTACCATAGCCGTGAGTATTTCTTTAGTTTGTTATTGCTGACGTTTGCTCTTTGAAATACCAAATATTAACAAAAATCTAGTGCAACTCGACCAAAACGAACGATATCACCACGCAAAAACAGCGTGTAAAATAGAGAAAAGAGTGATTAATCAATTGGAAATGGGTCTATATAAATTTATCTAACATATTATCCATTTTAAACCAATTCTTTACTGTGTAAATTCGCATTCTCTGTGCTCTTCTGCGGGTAAATTTGCTGTTTTTTCGTCTTTTGTGTGGATCAAAATTTCAACTTTGAAAATTTATTTGCCATCAGCGTTTCATTTACACTCCTTTTGTTATTTAAACACCAGGAATTGTCTATTGGATTCAATTGAGCCTATATTCTCTTTATTGTGATATCAATTGTGCTGCTTTACATTGTGAAAAGTCATATTCCAACTGCCTTTATATTAATCGTTACCCATACTTGCCGTTATCAATAGATATCTATAATGTCATCATCATCAACTACTGCTGGTCCAGTCCCCGTCCCAAACGGTACTTCTCCAAAGAAATCAATTGGCCATCCTTTACTCACATGGAAAGATCCTATCAAAACTGGTAAAGTGTTTGGTACTCTTATCGTCTCCTTGATTGTCTTGAAATCTGTCAACTTGTTGAGCTTGTTTTTCCGTTTAGGTTCAATTGCTTTGATTTCATCTGCAATTGCTGAATATGCTGGTAAATTAATCACTGGTACCGGATTTGTTACTCGTTATAGACCTTCATACAACAAAACTTTTTCACACAAGACTAATAACTTTTTGCAATCATTTTCTCAAGATTTACCAGCTTTAGAAGAGGAGGGTCAAAAATTGTTGTACTCTTTCAACATCGAAAATACTTTAAAAGCTTCAGGTTTATTCTACATCTTGTACAAAATCACTTCATGGTTATCATTATACAAATTGATTTTCATTTCAACTGTTTTAACTTTTACTTTACCAGCTGTTTATGAAAATTATCAAGATGAAATCAATCAAGCTGTTGTTCAATTCTCTGGTATTGCTAAGGAAAAAGCTGGTGAATATTCCAAGATTGCCTCTGACAAAGCTGCTCCATATTTGAAACAAGCTGATGAAAAATTGGGTCCAGTCTCCGGTTTTATTAAACAAAGATATCAAGTTCGTACTGCTTCAACCACTGTTGGTGAACAAAACTCTAGTGCATTCACTTCAGGTTCTCAAGCTGTTGAAAACACCGGTGCTAAAAAAGTTTCCACTAATAGTTCTAAACAGACTAACCCATTTGAAGTTGCTGAAGATGCTGTTAATCAAACTGCTGGTGGTCCATCAGGTTCTACAACCGCTTCAGGATTATCAACTGGTGGTGATGGCTTGCAAACTTCTGTTAGAGATGAATTTGACACTTCTTATCATCAAACTCAACCAATCCAAACTGAAGCTTTCCCATCTGCTCCAAATACTCAACCTTTAGTTGATCAATTGAAACAAAAAGCTTCAGAAGTTGATGTTGAAGATTTAAAAAGTGATATCTTAAAAAACAAGGCTAGTGCTACTCCAAACTTTTAAGAAGAGTGTTAAAACTTCTCATTCATTCATTGTCCCCATTTTTTTTTATATGTATTAACATTAACTAAATATTATTCATATGGTTGCCTTTTGTGATATTTTGTACCATTTTGGTTCTTTTTTTGACTTTTTTATTTGATTTCTAACAATAAAAAAAACTTTATCATGAAAGTAACAATGTAGATATTGCTCGTTTAAAATCGATTTTTTAATGGTCACACGACATCACATGGCTACGTCAAAAAAATGAGAATATAAGACATGTTGGCATTGATCCAAAGTATAAGGCATAAAAATGTATGGTTGAATAGATTATAAAAATATGATCAATGTCTTTCAAGATCATAAAGATCTTCACTAGATAAAATTCTAGATTTTAATACCAGAACTAACTTCCAATTGATCAATAACAGGATTGAAAACATTTTCATTCAAATCCTTTTCAGTATATTTCAATTGTTGTTCAGTCCATAAATTAGATTCAACGACATGATTTGGATCACCAACACCTAATAACCCACCTTGATTAGCTAAATCTTCAATTCTTGGTAATTCCAAAGTTTTATAAACATCTTCAATAGCATCAACTAAAATATCAGCTAAATCTTGATGATGTCCAGGAGTTGGAGTGATTCTTAATCTTTCTTCACCTCTTGCAACAGTTGGGAAATTAATAGCTTGAACATAGATCTTGTGTTTATCCATTAATAAATCTGAAGCTTGTTTAGCTCTTGCAGCATCACCAATAACAACAGGGACAACATGTGAAGGATTTGGCATAACTGGAACACCAATCGCTTTCAATTGATCTTTAACATATGTAGTGTTGACTTGTTGTAATTGACGATCTTTAATATAATGTCTAACGTAACGAATAGCTTCAGCTGCACCTGCTAAAACTGCAGGAGGTAATGAAGTTGTAAAGATAAAACCTGGAGAATAAGATCTTAACCAATCAATAATGTTTGAACTACCGGCAACATAACCACCCACGGTACCGAATGACTTACCTAAAGTGGCAGTGATAATATCAATACGATCCATAGTGGTTTTAAAATTTGGTGATGCAATACCTGATTTACGATGAGCTTCGAAATCAAAATGTTCTGCAACACCAGCACCATGTGGACCATAAAGACCAACAGCATGGACTTCATCCAAGAATGTTAAAGCACCATATTTATCAGCTAAATCACAAATTTTATCAATTGGTGCAACTGAACCACACATTGAATAAACAGATTCAAATGCAATTAATTTTGGAGTTGATTTTGGATATTTAGCCAATTTAGCTTCTAAATCTTTTAAATCATTATGTTTCCAAATCTCTTTTTTAGCATTAGAATGTTTAATACCAACAATCATGGAGGCATGATTTAATTCATCAGAAAATATGACTAAATCTTTCATTTTTTGACCCAATAAAGATAAAACTGCATCATTTGCAACATAACATGATGAAAACACTAAAGCTGCCTCTTTTTTATGTAATGCAGCCAATTCACTTTCTAAATTAATTGCATGTTTATTATGACCTGCAATATTTCTAGTACCACCAGCACCTGCACCATATTTTTGTAAAGTTTTACCCATAACATCAATAACTTGTTGATTTTTAGACATTGCTAAATAATCATTTGAACACCAAACAGTGACTTTATCCTCCTCGGTGGCTCTATGAGCTTTTGGGAATTCTTTGGCTAATCTGTTGATATTGTTGAAAAATCTATAAGAATTATCAGATCTCTTTCTTGCAATTTCATTTTCAAATAATCCGTTATAATCAAAACTCTTTTCTTGAGTAGCTGAATGATCAACCATTTCAAAATCTTCAACTTCATGAGCAGCAGTAGCTTGGGCTCTAGCTGGTTTAGAAGGAGTAGTGTATGAACGTTTTTGTTCAGTTAAGGCAGGACCCATGACTGGACACATTGAAGCCTTATTAGCTAAAGATGAGCCATTAATATGTTGGATGGCTGCCTTGTTGGCATGGTGCTTAACAAAAGGACAAAGCTTGACTGATTGACGAGTAAGAGCTTCCATGATGAAGATTAGAACAACAAGTCTTAGAGATTCTCGTAATCTGAAAGTTCTTTTTTTCGTTTGGGATTTGTTTGGAGTTTTATAAGAAAAAAGTGATCGATGATTATTTTTTTTTTTTTTTCTTAACGGTTTTTTTTTTTTTTTTTTTTTTTTTTGG